GGTTAAAACGGTGGGTGGGGGGTTGGTTGTCAAAACGGTGGGTTGGGGGTCAAAACGGTGGGTTGGAGGTCCTCACAGTGGTGTCAAGGCGCTTGTCAGCCGACACTTGAGTGTCGAAAACGACCCTCGAGATTAACAAGGGCCGCGCAGTTGCGAGTACTACGTAGTACCCCATCAGCGTGAATGCTTGCGTATGCCCGCATGGCTGGTCGGTATGAGGAGGCCATGTGCTCGCGCGACTCTTATGCGACAGTCCAACGCGCGATACCTATCTGATTCTCGCTGCATAACATTATGGGTCAGATACTGAAGGGACTAGGAGTGTTGTTTGTGATATTTGTTTTGTGTTTTTTCAGGTGGTGTGTAGATGTGAGTGTGTGGTGTAACGTGTGGTGTGTGTGATGCGTCCTAGTCGAGCGGCGTCGAGTCGAGTTTGGGACCTCATCCCTCCAGTGCGTCAGTTCGCGTGCGGGTTCGATTTTCGAGCGTTCCACCGCGCGTACCTCCTATGCTACAGCGAACGAGAAACGCCCTCGGCCGGGCCACCTCTGCAATTGCATACGGAAAGCCTTCGCACGTGGTTCAGTAGCTCGGCGGGGATACGCCCACCTAAGGGATGGTGACAACTCCCGCAGGTGGAGGTAAGCAGTGCCTGGCATGACCCTGTCCTGTCGTAGGGGCTCGCTAGATGTACAGCTGGCGCACTCGGCCGGAGCGGCAAACGCCCTCCTCGACAAGTCCTGCAAAATCTTGTGTGACGCGGCCGAGAGGGTCCAAAACGGCTATGTGACACCCGCGGCCTAGGCCGCGGGCATTTCGGCCGCTGCGACCGAGATTCTCGGCCGCGGCCGTGGCCAATGAGGCCCAGTCTGCGGCCAGTTTTTTTTAATATTTTTTTTTCTCCCCCTTAAAATACATAAAAATTATTAAAAATATATATATATATATATATATGTATACAGGTGTAGGGCTTGAAAAATCCTACACTCCTATATTTTTTTTTTTCGAATTCGACTTTGTTTAAGATTTTAAAAATATCAAAAACTAAAATCGATTTAAACAAAATTAAAAATATATATATAAAGAAAAGCATGAATTTTTTTTTGCCATTTTTTATCATGAGATATATGGTCCCTGAGTACACCTGTATTTTTTTCTAATTGGATTTTTATTTTTTGCAGGGAAATGAGGTGTTTAAAAAAAATGCCGATGCAAAATTTTAAAAGAAATTAAAAAAAAAAAAGGTTTGATTGATTGATTGATTGATTGATTGATTGATTGATTGATTGATTGATTGATTGATTGGATTTGATTGATTGATTGATTGATTGATTGAGTGTGATTGTGTGTGTGTGTGTGTGTGTGTGACTGTGTGTGAGGGTTTGTGTGTCCGTGTGTGTGTGCTGTGTGTGTGTGTGTGTGCGTGGGCGTGCGAGAACGTGAGGGAGCTGAGCTGCGCAGGAGCATGCGGGAGCGTGCGCGCGCGCGCGCGCGAGAGAGAGAGAGAGAGGTCTGCTTGCGTGAGTGTGTGTGTGCGTGTGTGTGTGCGTGTGTACGTGTGTGCGTGTGGGTGTGAGTTTGTGTGCGCGTGTGTGTGATGTGTGTGTGTGTGTGCGCGCAGGCGGGAACGTGCAGGAGCTTGCGCGCGGGAGCGGGAGTGTGCGCG